CACTTGTTACTAAACCACCGGTTAAGCTAAGTAAAGTAAGTAGCGTTCCGGTCCACTAGGGGTCGGGGCGTTACAGTTTTGATTTGCACATTAGGTCATGCGATGCCGTATAGCTATTCATATTTACCGCATCATGGTGGGACCATTTGAATTCAAGCGAACAGACAATGTACTGATGGGATTATTTCTCTCACCTTCATTTTTGATATGGGCAGTTGAAGTGTTATTAATGTTGTTCATATTGTAGTTGTATACTTTGTAAATGCGGCATAGCTTTTGTTCAATAACGACCCTAGAATTGTGGCTCTAAGGTGATATGCATATGCAATATGAAGTGTTATTAGTATTGTGCTCGAAAGATGCATTATATTCATCCAACGTGCTTTGAGGCTGGCAATATATTTTTATTAATTCTAAGTGGCGAGAATATTTTTGACTTGAAGTTCTCTAACTTCTTACTGTTAATTCTCGTTTCAATGCTATTGAAGATTACTCGATAAATTCATGATGGGTTCACTTTATTAGTAAGTGGGAGGTTGTTTTATGTGGTTGATGAGGCAGTTTTAGAATAATTTTGTTGGAGGAAAAAGATACAAAATGCTATTTGTTGCATTCTAACAAAAAATAAAAAACAAAGAGAAAAGTGGATTAATATTTGGAAAAGATGTGATATTTGGGTCTCTGAAAATATGAATTCATAGTTATAATTAAAAACCGTTGGAGGAGATAATGATTCATAGTTATAATTTATGTTTCGTACGTCATCCTATCTTGTGTGTTCGTTGGATGGTTAGTAATCTCTTAGGGTGTAAAACCCATATGTGCTACCATTGAGTATAAATTGCCGTTGAATGTTCGAATATTTCATGAATACATAACCTACTAAAAAATGGACTAATACATAACCTACTAAAAAGTGGAAATTCAAAAATCGATGGTGAAGGTAAGAGAAATGAGAATCCAACATTTCAAATTTCTTTTGAAATCCCGACTGAAATGTTGTGGTGTGGTCAATGGGTGAGCTCACTGTCATTTGCAGCTTTTTGGTGGAATTAATGCAACTCAATATCTCTCACTTGGGTGTTGTAAAATCTCAACCGTCCGAAAGACGTGATCTCGGCCGTACACGTCTTTGTCAACCTATTTTGTCATCCATCTTTGTACTAGTAGCATTATTGATTATATTTTGCTTCAAGTGCAACATAAAAAGCATCTACTCACATATGGGTCGTGGGAAGATTTTAGACTGCGATCCATCTCAACTTTTGCCACATTTTTGAAAATAATGTATGGAGACCTGTGTATGAAGTTTGTAAACGGTACTTCTAAGTTCTAAATCCCAGATGGAAAACCGTATAACACATGATATTTTACAAATGTTACAGCAATTATCTACACTTGCTTCGACATCTTGAATGGTGGACTGGCTGAAATTTTGCATCTTGACTTTTTATAATTCTCTTGCCTATTAAGTTCTGTGCAAATGTTCTTTTCACAGTGCCGTTAGTTGAAGTAACATCTACACCAGAAAGTCCTTGGGTTCAATGCTTTCAAGTTCTAAGGTTCAGTTCATGCAAGAATATAATTTTAGATGCGAATCTGAGTATAATATTCACCAATAATCCTTACAAGAGCAATATCCTCCTTTGAAATGATGAAATCTGTATCGATCTCGTATAATTATTTCCCTATTATAAAGTTTAGATATGAGCTTAGCAACAGAGTGACAGTCTCCACAAACACGAAGGTTCTTCACGACCCGAATAGGTTGAGATTGGCTTATAGTAAGAAGTCCAAAGGCAATAGCTAGCCTCTCACTGTGAAGATATAATGCATGTTCCTGTATCTCTTCTTCTTCAACAAGTTGAAGTAGTTGTGTCTTATTTGGTACATATCCCACCGATTTTAATCTAGCTGCAATTTCCTCCAACTTTGAGTATATTTTGTTGGATAGAGGGTGAGAATTGTCTCCGACTAGAAACTCGTGAACAATACCATCAACCTCAATCGAGCTGCAACCTGGTTCTTTCTTCAGACCGTTCTCCCTCATAACCTTCCTCAACTCTGAAACCTTGTCCCATTTCCCTGATTTGGCATAGATATTAGACAGTGACACATAAGCTCCGTGATTTTGAGGTTCTAATTCAAGTAAACGAGCACATGCATGTTCAGCTAGGTCAACATTGCCATGAAGTCTACATGCCCCAAGCAGAGCCCCCCAGACAGAAGCAGACGGGGTTATAGGCATGTTCTTGATAAACTCCATGGCTTCCTCCAATAGACCTGCTCGACCAAAAGTATCAACCATGCAAGCATAGTGCTTCACAACAGGCACGATATTATAAACTAGCTCCATTTGGCGGAAAAAGTCTCTACCTTCCTCAACTAGCCCTGAGTGACTGCAGGCAGACAATAAATTGGTAAAAGTTACAGAATTAGGCTCCACATTGGCCTCTTGCATCTTCAAGAACAATTCTATTGCATCCCTACCGAAACCATGCATTGCCAAACCAGCAATCATAGCACTCCATACATATACATCTCTCTTGTCAACCGAGTGAAATACTTCAAGTGCCTTCTCCAAAGCCCCACACTTAGAATACATATCAATCAGCGCAGTTATGAGATGACAGTTTAACCTTACTCCCTCTTTTTTTATGTACACATGGATCCACCCACCCAAATCCATAGCCCCTAACTGAGCACAGGTTGACAGGGTAATAACAAGGGTGACTTCATCAGGTTTAGCCTTCTTGCTAAGCTGCAACTCATTAAAAATGGCTAAAGCCTCCTTAGGATTACCATTTTGTTCATAAGCCGAGATAAGAGCATTCCATGGAGCGATATCCTGACAAGGAATTGCAGCAAGAAGACTTCTAGCTGCATCAAAATCCCCCAACCTCGCATACCCAGCAAGCATAGTTGTCCACGAAATAATATCCTTCCCCTCCATTTTGTCAAAAAATCTCATGGCTTCCTCGATACTCCCACACTTGGTATACATATCAACAACGGCATTACTCAAAGTCAAACTCATTCTTATACCATTCTTCATTATATAAGAATGCACCCACCTTCCAAACTCCAAATCCAATTTTTTCCCACAAGCTGACAAAACCCCTACCATCGTTACATCATTCGGTTTCACATCTTCCCCCACCATTGCTTGGAACAAATCTAATGCCTCGTCAGCACAATCCCTTTGAGCAAAGCCATTGATCATGGAGTTCCAAGAAACAACATCCCTTTTCGGCATACTCAAGAAAACCTGGTATGCCATTTCCAAACAACCACATTCAACATAAAAATGAATCAATGAATTAAGTACAAACAAATCGGAAATAAACCCCGACTTAACCACCATTCCATGAAGTCCCTTTCCAACCTGCAAATCCGAGAGCTCGGCCAAGGCTTTGATCACAAAAGGGTAAGTAAACTTATTGGGATTCTCACTACCTTCATGAGTTAGTCGAATGAACATCAAGAAGCTATGAATGGGAACGGGGCTCGAAGAGTACGCACGAATAAGGGCGTTCCAAGAGAAAAGATTAGGGTTGGGAACTTGATCGAATACTTTGCGAGCATACTGAATGCTGGAGAATTGAGACAAAGCAGATGCTTGAATGAGTTTGCTAGTCGAGTAAGGATCAAAAAAGAGGCCAGTTCGGAGCATTTGCGCATGGATTTGTCTGAGGTGCTCTGTGCTAGAGCAATGGTCGATCATTGTGATTATCGGATGGTTTGCATAGTATCGGTCATTGTTGACAGTGGGGAATTTGGGATTCAGGTAGTTACATTGAATATAGGTGTTTGAAGCAGCCATAAATTCTCCTGAGCTCAACTGATGCACAAATTTAATTCATTTCTACCATCTTTTTCCATTTCTTTAAAACATGTTATTTATTTATATTTTTTTGTTTGTGAAATTTCATTGTAAGAAGAAAGTAAGAATGGATGCAGAGCCCCCTTATCCGGGACAGCGATCTCTCTCCTGTCCTGTTCCCTCCAATTTCCAACTAAAGTCGCATAAGCATCTCATTAAAAGTCGTGTTCCCCCGAAGCATAGAATTGTCCTTATCTTTAAAAACTTTCTGAAACCACGACGCTAATAATAATTACATAAAAATATATATTTCTTTGTCTATCAGTTTCCTCCGTGTTTGCTAATCCAATCTAATAGCCTCTGATTGATTTGCTGTTCGTATAACGATGTCGGTTAGTAATGGATATTCATCTTTGATTCAAATACAACTGTGTAATTCATATTCATGTTAAAGCGCGTTCTTATTCTTTGATTCGATTCATTAATTCAGAATTTTTATTCGGTGCTGCTTAAATTTTGTTGGCGTATGGGAAAATCTTTGTTTAGGATTAATATCGAGTTATCAAATTAATTGGAATAAGTTGATGAATCTTTTAGAATTTTTTAGTTTCGCTACAACTATTTCAACACACGGGAATAATTTTGCTATATGTACCTCTGTTTCATTTATTTTACGGGAAATTCTACATATTTAATAGAATTGCAGTTTCGTTCTTTTTCTTCTCCCTTTCCTCCAGGAAATCCAAGATCAAATGCATCAATCCATAAGCAACTATTGTTGGATGAAGTTTTGTTAACATGGGTTGAATATCATGATCTTTATTTGGTAGCATGTTTCACCCAAAAAAGGCACATCCCCAGAATAAGTGTATAGTGGGCAATTCATTGATTTGCAGCAAGCTGAGTAGACATTTCAATGCGACTTTAATGGTCATAGTAGAATGTTGAACTCATTAAAAGGACTCGGAATGCTTTGCATCATTGAGTGCCTGTTTTGCACCCTTTAAAATTTTAAATTGTTTGCTACAATATCATTCTTCACCACACATTTACACAATAAAATATTTTACACAAAAATCAATAAAGTTTCTTTACTTTTAACCGCACATTTTCCAAAGAATACTATTCAAAACTCTTTTATTCTCCCAATAATGGTTGAAAAACAGGGGCTGATTTAAGCATTATAACTTTGAGACTGAGTGCTTAAAAGCTCCTTATTTTGCTTTGAAGTTTTGTATCATGCTGGTTGTCTATAGGCCTAGAGAAACTTCAATCCTCTGTTTGTTTCCTTGAATTAAGGGCATCGTACTCAAAATCAGATAAAAGTACATTCAAACTTTAGTTGACAAAACATTGAAATTGTCTCACCCTGGATACTCATTAAAAAAATTGTCATTCATTATCTAGGTTGCTGCAGATACTGAGAGACGACCCCCCC